TCAGAAGAGCTTCAAGAGCCTTGCTGTTGCCTAACAAAGTGATCCGCCTCGCCCCCGGGAACAAATGCGAGAAACTACACGTCCCAGAAGGCCTTGATCCTCATGTGGACTACATTTCCCAGGGGAGATAGCGGCCGCGCGACCCTGGGACTCAGATCCGCCCCTCATGCCCCTCTCGTACTTTTATAGCCGCCTCGCGTCTGGCCGGAGTGTGGGTAGGGGGCTGAGGTTGTTCCGACAGAGCTGGAAAGCCAGGCTGCTTTCCCACCGCCTATTTCCGGAGCCTCGCGGTTGCGGAGCACGACAGCTGGGGCCGGGCCCAGGGGACCCCCCCCCCCACCAGCCCGGCGAGGTAAGCGGCGGCGGGGCGGGGATTGCGGGAGGCGGGTCCGGGCCACAGGGGATGCGGGCGGGGAAGCGCCCGGGAACAGCTGAGAGGCTTTTGCGGGCTCTCGACTGCCCCGCCAGCCGTCCGCGACGCCGCCTGGACGTGTGCGGTCGTCCTTGGTCCCGGTTCGGCCCAGCCCAGTCTCCTGCTTCCTGAGCTCCGTCACGGCGGTTCCCTGCACGCGCTGCCGGGTTGGAGCGCCGCGGTCACGCGTGGGAAACACGGTCCTCCTCGAGGAGGAGGGCGGCGCTGTGGCGGGAGCGAGGTGGTGGGCTCCCCATGCCAGAGCCAGGACTACAACCAGCTCTTACTTTTGTGCACCCGGTCCCTGCTGGGCATGGGGAAGCCACCAATTGCCATTTCTGAAAGGGTTTTCTTCAAAACCATGGAAATTGTTTGTTTTGTAAGGAGGCAGAGAAATTGGGTGGATAAAGCTTGACGTAGAGAAAAAATTGTTGGGAAGATAGACTAGAGCCGCTGCTCAGGGTGTGCTCTTGGATTCCTGTGATGTTGCGGGGCATTATGAGTTGAGAGAGGGTCACTGAGGCAGATTAGCAGGAAGCAACGTATATTTTGCTGGCATGGAGTTGAGAGAGGGTCACTGAGGCAGATTAGCAGGAAGCAACGTATATTTTGCTGGCATGGACCCAACGGACTCGTGTCCATAGGCTGAGCCCCAAGAACGAAGAAGTCCCACCTTACATACCCTTGCAAGCAGGTTACAGAAGCAAAAATGCAAAGCTCAATCCACATATGGCTACATGTGACTTCATTGGCTATTTCATTTGCCCAGTGATATGTGATCTTCATCTTTCAATTCTTTAAGTTTTATCTCTCTGCTTTGCCATCCCCTCCCCCTGTCTGGTTGTTTGAACACAGCTTGTATTTCTTTTCTGGCCTCCCTTTCTTGCTACATTATTTCCCCTTTTGATGCTTGGACCCACCCAGGGTCAAAGAGCATCTCTTTGATCTAGGGGTTTGTATTTCCATAGCATCATTACATGCAGGCGGTTTTTCTTTCTGTAATGGTCTCCATAATAGTCCTGATAGACCATAGCACCAGGGGAGCCAGATGGGGCAATATTAAGCATGCTCCTAGGATTAGGCCTATTGCCCCTATCAGGGTTTTGAATCCACCTAAGGCAAAACCACCCTCCAAACAGGTCACTGGGATCCCATCCTCTCCAAGTCTGGACAGGGACATGGGCAAGCTTTCTCATTTTGTCTGAGATCTATTTTATGACTTTTCCTTCATCATCAATCTGTAAGCAGCAGTTGCTTAGGTTAAATTTTCCACAAACTCTTCCCTCAGAGGCCAGCAAATCGTCTAAAGCCAGGCAGTTCTGATAGATGGCATTGCACATTTTCGTGCTTTGTTTTGCCAGCAATTTGAGAGCTCTTGCAGTTTCGTTATAAAACTTCTGTCCAAAGCAAGTTAAATCCCCCACTGAGGTGGAGAATTGGCCTTCTGGGCAGGAGGCACAATAATTTCCGATGATGGAAGTTTTTAGGAGCCAGATGCCTTTTCTTGTGCTTTGGAAAAGCAGTGTCGTTAAAAGGTTCCCGTTGGTCTAGCTCCCTTGCTTCCCAAGGCAAATGCTCTCCCATTTGGTCCCCCACAAACATAGCATGAAGTGACAATCAGTGTCTGGGCTATAACCTCAGCCATCGAGAGGAACAAGTTTTTAGTTTTGGCAGAGATGGAAAATTCATTCCTCATCGCCTCATAAAATGAGTGAAAAACCCCCATAAAAGGAGTGAAAAACTTGGTATGAGGAACTCATGGGTAACAGTTACTAATTTGAGGTGCATCAGATTTCCAGGGTCAAGACCTTTCCATTTATCCTCATGCCAATTAGGTCCCCGTGTGCAATCCGATGGCTTAAGCACAGTGAAATTTATAGGGTTACAGGTGCTATGGGTACAGTCGGGCAGCTTTCCCTTTGTGAAGGAGGCTGCATGCTTACCCCTCTGCCATGTGGCCCATGAAACACAACTCCAATAAGGACAATAAAAGAACCCACATCATCACATGGCCAAGAGTTGTCTCCCTGGCACTTATATTTATCATTTGAAATATAGGCTCTTTCCCGAGCTAGGCCCTCACAGCCTGTACCTTCACACCCACCTTTGTCTATGGCTACACATGCATCAAAGAGCATTGACACTGGCTTATCATGGCTAAACACCTGGGTGCGGCTGATGAGGTTCCCAGGATTGTAGACGCTCCTGATCTCTAACCATTGCTCCCGAGGGCAGTAAGTGGGGTTGAAGCAGATATGCTGATTACCATGGGAACACTGAATAGATGGAATGGTTGTGAGTGCATGACCCGATGACAGTGCCTGCACAAGAATAGTAAGTATGGAACAGCAAAGTCCTACTGACAACATTTTCTGCCGAAGTAGTATGCATACATAGGTCACAAGAGGAGGGCTCTGAGGCTGTGAGTCCAATCAGCGTGGGCAGTTCCTGCCGCCAAACCTATGGCAAAGATTATGGTGAGAATTACAGCAACAAACAAAGGGTGACAATGCATCACAGTGAGACAACTGGTGTAAAAACAGTCCAGTTGTCCCAGTGGAGAGTTGATTCCTCAAGCTTTTGCCATGTGTTGACTAGTCAGCTTCTGGAGTGTGACTAGAGCAGGGCTGTTGTCCCACCATTCTTGGTCCCCTGTTGTTTCCTGGGAAGTGGAGTCCTGCCGAGGAGGGTACTCAGGTTACGGAGGGTGATCTTACATGGTGAAGGTGGAGCAGGGATGCACTCTACCTGATATGCCCATGCCTTATTTCTCATTTCTTTAGCAGGCCACTGTAATCTAGCCTGGCTTTGATAAGAAAGTCTGGGAAACTAAGGAATTAGACTTGCTAGGGACAAGGTAGAACCTGGATGACCAGTTAGCCGTGGCCATAATTTGCTGTACTAATTGCTTTTCAGCAACTTGTGTTATGACCTTAAGAGTTTGAGACACACATTTCCCAAAAGATGAGAGAGAGGCCAATATCCTGTTAATGATGTTACTCCTAGAGACAGACTGCCTAATGTTCTACTGCTTATTAGATGTGGATACCTGAATACCTAATTTATTAGCTTCTCTGTTTCTGTATGAAGTAGAAATACGAGAGCACCCACCTCTTAGGGTAGTTGAAGGGAGTAAGCAGATGTTATCTGTGGTTTGTTTGGAATAGCTACCAGCATACTGAGCATTTGATAGATGTTAGTTACAATAATAATTATCTTTGTCTATTACTAAATAATCTTTATTTTATTTACTTATTTATTTCATTTATTGATTTTTTTTTTTTTTTGTGGTACTGGAGCTTGAACTCTGCCTATACGATGAGCCACTCCACCAGTCCTGTTTTGTGATGGGTTTTTTTGAAATAGGGTCTCACAAACTATTTGCCAGGGCTGGCTGATCCCTGCTTCCTGAGTAGCTAGGATGACAGGTGTGAGCCACCAGCGCCTGGCTGACATTTATTTTTGACAATAAAAAATACTCATAGAAAATGCTTTTGTCTCTTCTTTTTAAAAAAATTTTCTTTTTAAAATTTTTCAGTGCTGCTGGGATCAAACCCAAAGCCTTATTCATGCTAGGTAATGGTTCTACCATTTAACTACATGTCTAGCTCATAGAAAAAAATTTTTTTCTCATAGAAAATTCTTAAGCAGAGCATTTAAAAATTTATTTTTTATTATTGTACTTGGGGTACATTATAACATTTACAAAAGATCTCACAGTATATCAATAGTTGAATTTATGCCCTTCATCATTCTCCTTTATCCACACCCTCCCATTCCTTGAATATCAGCACATTTTTCCATTCTTATGCAGCACATGTGTCTTCTTTTTTGGTCTGTTGAGATAGGGACTCATTAAGTAGCCCAGACTGGCCTTTGAACTCGCTGTCCTTCCTTAGCCTCCCAGTTGCTGGGCCTATAAACATGTGCTACCACACCTGGACAGTGCATGCTTTTTATGAAAAATAAAACAGTATAAAAATGCAAAAGGATTGCATTGAATATCCCAGAGATAATGTTATGAACCTATGTAGGCCTGGGTGTGTTTCTCAAGTTGTAGAAGGCCTACCTAGCAAGAGTAAAGCCCGGACTATAAATCACATCAAAAAACCCTAAAAATCCAAAGAAGCATAAGTAGATAGTAAAAAACAAAAAACACTCAGAAAATATTTTTTTTTGTATCTTTCTTTTCCTTCCTTCCTTTTATTTATTGTTTTCAGTGCTTCTGGGAATCAACTCCAAGGCTTGCTTATGCTAGGCAAGCACTCTACCATCAAGCTATATCCCTAGCCCTAAAAGGTTCTTTTGAGATAGCACCTGTTTATGTATCCCAGTCTGGCCTTCAACTCAGCATCCCAAGTGCTGGGCCCTCAGGCATAGGTCACTATGCCTGGCCAGTACATGCTTCTTAATGAAAAAAATCAAATAGTGTAACAAAGCAAAAGGATTGCATAGAATGCCCTAGGCATAATTGCTATTAGCATATGTAATGGTGGATTTTGTATTTTAATTGTTATGCATATATGTACATGTGATTTTACCTTTTTTGATCATTTAAAGATTTATGGTTTCTCTATTTATTATTCATAGAACATACCCCTGACTCCATCCACTGACTTCTATGAGGAATTAGCCTTGGACTGTTCTGGTCAGCAGGTAGTTTCTCAATGGACAGTATTCTGATTTCGCTTCTCTGGGTAAGTTCTTCATGATTATTTTTCTTTAAGTCAGTGACAAAATTTCATTTATATAATGTTATTCTAAGTAGAAGGCAATATAAAAGAATTTATTCCCTTTGGAGAGTAAATCAGTCAGGTTTTGGTTTTTTTTGTCTTGTTTTTATTTTGTGAAATGGAGTTTAGCTGCATTGCCTGTGCTGGTCTCAAATTCTTGGACTCAAGTGCCCCCCACCAGCCTTCAAAGTAGGTGGGGGCTGCACATGTGCACCATCACCTGCCTATCACTTTTATCTATTGTAAACCTTATAGTTGTCTATTCTAATTTAGTAAAAGAGAAATAGAGAAGTTTCTGTATCATTGTATAAAAGAATGTGTTATTATTTTTGACAGGACCTTGAGAAAGTAGAGGAAAACGGAGTGAAATGCCTGCAGTTACTTTGGTGTAGTAATAGTAGTTAACAGCATTATTTGAGAGGGGAAATGTTGGGGGTGAGAACCAGCAGCTGTGGGGAAGGTGGAGCGCGATGAATAAGATCAAAGTATTTGTGCACATGTCTGAAACTAGAATAATCAGACCCTTTAAAAATTGTTTAAAAGTGGAGGAAGGGTGCAAGAAGGATTAGTAATGGTGGCAAATTGATCAAAAATACACTATATGGATGTTTAGAAATATCACATCAAAACCCTTTGTATAATTAATATAAGCTAGGAAAAAAAGGCAGGAAAAAAATGAAAAATACTCACTTATTACTCTTAACATCTCAGCTGGTGAGACAGCACCGCACGTTCATACTGCACAGTAAGAAACACAGCACTCAGTATGAGCCTGGATAGAAATAAATACAGAAATACAGAGAAAAATGAAAACAAACACAGAAAAAGGATCATGTGCCTGGGACTGAGGCAGGAGGATCACAAGTTTAAGGCTAGCCTGAGCTATGAAGTGAGACACTGTCTCAAAAGAAGAATATTAAAAATTTATCAGTAGTGTGTGTTGTCTTCCAGGTTGTATTTCTCGGTACTCAGCAGGTAGCGTCTGTTACTATCCATCTTAACCATCATCAGCACAATCCAGTCCAAGTACAGAAATTACAGAAGGAACTGCGGAGGTACCTCACTCCGAAAATTGGCTTTGAGGCAGTTAGGATGGTGACCAAAGGTGGGCACACTATTTTTTTTTTGCCATGCAGGAATAAATACTGTTTTTTTAATATCAGTAAATATACATGTTTTCACATAATCTTGTCTTAATGTATTTATCCTGCTTAGATTCATTGTTGATTTTCTAATATGCAATTACAGAATATGCAATTAAGAAGTGAGAAGAAACACTTTGAGTCTCATATTACTATATTAAAAAATACTGAGCTATACATTTTAAAATGGTGAATATTATATGTGAATTATCTCAGTTTTTTAAACAAAGGAGACCATGTCTCAAAGGAAAATAAAACTATGTTAACTGATGTTTTTTAAATTCAGCTTACTGAACACTAGTATTAGATCTTCTTTCTTTTATTTTTTTGATATGAAGTGATGGTATATGGTCTTTGTGCTATCAGACTTGCCTCACCCTCCAGAGGAGCTGGGACTACAGGTGTGCCACCATGCCTGACATTTTTTATTTTGTTTTGGTAGTAGATTTTGAACCCAGGGCCTTGTGCTTGCTAGGCAGTTGCTATACCACCTGAGCCATGCTTCTAGCCCTCTTTTTGTTGTAATGAAGCAATTATTTATTTTTCAAATCATGGTAAAATATTGATAATATAAATTGATCATATAAACCTTTTAAATTAATTAATTAATTGTTTTGGTTTTTTTTTTTTTTTGAGGTAGGGTCTCACTATGTAGCCCAGGCTAGCCTCAAACTCATGATTCTACTGCCTCAGTCTTCTGTGTGCTTTTGAGTTTTTTTCCTATGGTGGGAATTGAACCCAGTACTCACACACCTGTACATAGTCTGCAACTGAGCTAACACCTCAGCTCTCTAACTTTCCTTTTTTCTTTGATTGCATGAGGGTTTCAAGTCAGGGCCTTGCACTTACCAGGCAGGCACTCTGCCTACCACTGAGCTACACCTCTACCCCTTAACTTTTTCTTTTTTATTGGTTGTACTAAGATTTGAATTCAGTGCCTGTGCTTGTCAGGAAGATGCTCTGCCACATGACCTAGGCCTCCAACCCTCCTAATCATTTTTAATTGCATAGCTCAAGTGCCCTCATTATTATATGCATCTCCAGAAGGACATCTTTTAATTTCTGCTCTCCTTGTTTTTTCATTTTTTCCACATTGTTAACCTGGTTCTAAGTTTTAATTCATTTGGTAATCATTTTTAAGGTAAAACATTACATGAAACATACAGAAAAAAGAGAAGGATCCACTAATTTGTCAATGTATTTTGAAATCTGTTGGTCAAACTATTTGCCTGTATGACATTTGTTCTCTATTACCCCTCACTATAATAATATGAACTCATTCAATTCATTTTTTCAATCTAATGATTTTTCAGTTTCATATTTTTGGAGGGGTGGCACTGGAGATTGAACCCAGGGCCTCATAGACTCTGAGCGTGTGCTGTACCACTGAGCTACACACCAAGCCTCACTATGTCTGTGTTTTTAAAGGCACATTTTTTGGACCCCATTTATTCATTCAAGATTCACAGACTTCAGAAATGTTTATTTCTGCAGATATTGGCTATTACTTAAGGGAAGTGTACATCTTAAAAGTGCTTAAGACTTTTTTTATTTTTCCATAAAGAGCCTGGGGACCATCTAACCAGTATACAATGTAAGGCTATTCAGAATTGTCATAATAAATTCCCCTGTACAATGAATATAAAAATGAAAAAAAAAGACTTGACAAAGTAAAAAGAAAAAGCCTGGGAACAAGGCTAAGAGTGTGGCTTAAGTGCCTGCCTAGCAAGTGCAAGGCCCTAAGTTCAAATCCCAGTATTGCCCAAAAAAGTTGAATGAGCTTGGGAACATGCCAACAAACTAGCCTTTAGTGCATAACTTAACAAAACTATGTGGTTAACTTGCTTAGTTCTTTCTTTTTCTAGGATAAATTTCATTAGAGCACACGTTTAGCATGTCTGAGGCCCTGGTTCAATCCCCACCACCACAGAGGGAAAAAAAAGATGTTTTACTAAAACATGTAAAAAAAAAATCAAACAATGCATTATTTGTCATTCTGTGGCTGCTTGCATTCCCTTCAAGTTTCCCCAGATATAGGTAAGCATATACTTTAGTTTTAATTTGAAGTAACAATTGAGGATCTTGTTAGAAATGAAAGGTGCATGGAAGAGGCAGAGAGATGCTCAAACACCAGTGCAGGATTTACCGTTCTGGAAGGAGCCCTGTGGAGGGGACCCCACAAGAGAGCTGAGCCCACAGCCTTTTATAGACTTGGAGTAGATATGAGGGAGCAGTCTGGAGGGGAGCCCTGCGGGGTGGGAAAATTCTTCCCCAGTGGAGTCAGCCATTGCTAGGGGAAGCTAGAGGACATAAATGGTAACTAGGTAGATAAGTTGCTCAGCTCCGCCTCCTGGCTAGATGGTGGCTTGTCATTTCCTTGAGACTACATGTGGTCCTTCCAGTGAGTGGTGGGATGTCAGTAAGCTGCCTGGAAGGGTGTGGAGGGATCCAATCCTAAGGTGGCTTCTTTTTATTCACCCTAACAGATCTAACAAACATGTTTTGTTTGGGTTTGGTTTATTTATTATTCACTTATTCATATGTGCATACATTGTTTGGGCCATCTCTTCCCCACTGCCCTCCACCTGCTCCCTCTTCCTCCCACCCACCTCACTTCTAGGCAGAACCTGTTCTGCCCTCTTACATGTATTGTTTTTTTTTTTTTAACCATGACTCTGACATCTATTTTTGTATGTACAGAACTATACTTTTCTTTTCTGATTACTGTTTTAAAGGTAGTTTTTATTTCACAATATATGCATTTGTTTTTCTTTAAAACTAGATATAGTTATACACATTATTGCAAAAACTAAATGCATCCTGGATCAGCTCGAATATATGCACACAAACTACATCCTACTGTATTTACTGTAACCACTTTAGTATGCATCATGATTTTCTGTACATTTCTATACTTAGGTACGCCATGCAAAATATATAGTGTGGTGGATTTGCATAAATAAGACATGTTCACCTAATACATCTTGAAGTCCACTCATTTTACTTTTTAAAATCAAAAAACAAGAGGGGCCACGCCAGAAACCTGGCAAAACACCCATTGTTGTCAGTATTGTGATGAAAATACTGCACCGTTGCCTGTCAGTGCTGGAAAAAAAAAACAAAAACAAAAAACATGTTCAAAAGGAAGTTATTAAGACGTTACATACTATTAGCAAGAGTGTAATGTTCTATGGTGTCACAAGATGAATATTCTCAGGTTCAGTATGTTTGGGAAGGTTCTCTGTACCTCAGCCCTGACTGATGGGGCCCAAGCCATTCCAGATAAGCAAAAAGCATCCAAAGAGATGCATCGCAGTGATGCCTTACACACATACAGTATCTGATATCTTACACACACATTCATTCATATATACTTGATCTTCTCATGGCAGCCTTCATCCTTAGCATTAATTCAATGAATACTTATTGAGCCCTTACTGCGTGCAAAGCTCTAACAGATACTGAGGAAAAGATGTGAATATGACACATACTCAGCTTTGACCATCACAAATCTTATGGTTAAGTGCTACAAAAGAGATTTAGGAGTGTTGCTTCTAGAAGAGCAGTTTGAGTGAGGCTTGGAGCAGAAAGGTGGGAGAGCAGAGTGTGGGGGAGACAGGAGGGTGACCTTGCTAGCCATGGTTAATGCCATGATGGAAAAGCTCCAATCTCATTGCAGTTTGCCTTTTGTACCCCTTACCCAGTGGAGTGCTCCTACTGAATTTTTTTAGGAACTTTATGGACTGGCTGTTAAAACATGACCATTATTAAAGGATGTAAAGAAAAATAAGTTATATTTAGGCTGCAGTGTAGCTACCAGCTTGTGTTCAAGCTCCAGGACCCCAAAATAAAGCAAAATAATTTTTTTTTGAGGATGCTAGGACCAACAATCACCAGCTGCCCAGATACCAAAAAATTATGCTTCTGAAATCCCTTGATCTCGATTCCGCAAGCAGAGCAATCAAGTTGCCCTACATGTGCCACTCATGACAGAAGCCTTTTTTAAAATAATACTTTAAGAGGTACTAAATGCTCAAAATTCCTTGCTTTCTGATTATTGTGCTGTTATATGCTTTGCAGTTGGTTATTTATGTTTATCTGTATGATGGAAATACTATATAATGATGTCCTAACGTGCATTTTTCCCAACTCATTTAGTGACTAGTAGGTTGTTTGAAATAGACATTGGTAGGAATATTTACAGAAATTGGCAAATGCTACAAATCAGGCTTTTTAAGATTTAAGAAAGTGATAGAGAAAATGTTAATGCAGATGAAATTTAAAAGTGTTACGTTGGGCTGAAGGCATGGCTCAAGTGGTAGAGCGCTGCCTATAAAGCACCAGTACTACCAAAAAAATTGTATAATATTGTTTATAAATTCTGTGCTATAATGCTTAATATCAGTAAATTTTATAATAAACTTACATGTATACATAAATACATACTTTTCTGAAGAGAGTTAGTTGTTAACTGTTTACCAGCACAGGCCTGTCATCCCAAGAAACCACTCATCACCAGTGACTTAGCTTGTTCCCAAATCCAGAGTCGCTTCTCAGGCTTGATCTCTTTCCAGCTTGGAGTATGTTAAACATTCCCCTCTTCTGAACTTTTTTCTTGTTGTTGTGAACAATGGTTTCCCTGGTTTGCTTCCCACTCTTCTGGCTGCTTTTCACATTTATTCAATAAATATTTATTTAAATAAAAAAAAAAAATAAATAAATAAAAAAAATAAAATCTATCTCATTCTATTTAATTTCTACTTTATTTCACTAAAATGAGCAAATCATGAATTAGCGATTTTTCTATTCATAATCACTGATGGTGATTTTTAATTTTTGGCTATGAAAAACAGATCTGTTTGAAAAGTTTTACACAAAGAAATGTGAGACTTAATTAAGAAGAAAAGTACAGCAGGTAAAGGACATAGGAAGTGCTTGGATTGCTATTTTAAGATGAGTAGCCAGGGAAGGACCTTGGCAAGGGGACATTTGAGGTAAGTTTTGAAACGGCTTATGCTGGAGACAGATAGTTAAAGGTAGGACTTGTTCATTCCCAGTTAACATGTAATTTATGTTTTGTCCTAAGGTGATGTGAAGGCATGTTCAATTTATTTATTTATTATTTTTGGTAGTACTGGCATTTGAATTCTAGGCTTAACACTTGCTAGGCAGGCACTCTGCCACTTGATCCACTCCACCAGCCCTTTTTTGTGCTGAGTATTTTTGAGATAGGGTCTCGTTTTTCATTTTCCCTGGGCTGGTCTTGAGCCTCAACCTTCTGATCTCTGCCTCTGCTAGGATTACAGGCATGAGCCTCCTGTGCCTAGCTAGACCACATGTTTTATTTGACAAAACAAAACAAGGCTGGGCACTAAAGAGTTTTCAGTTTTGAATTTTTTTCATATCTGAGTATTTGCATGTACATTATGAGATATCTTGGGAATGAGATCAGGTCTTAACACAAAGTTCATTTGTGTTTCATATACACCTTATAGATTAGCCAAAAGGTCATTTATAACAATATTTAAGTGTGCCTTTGTTTTGACTGTTACCGTACCCCTCACATGTAATGTGTGGGATTTTCCACTAGTGACATATATTGGTGCTCGAAAGGTTTCAGGTTTGGAGCATTTCAGACTTTGGATATTGGGTTTGGGTTGCTCAACCTGCAGTGTATAGACTTTTGAGTCTAGCTGCCTTTACTTAGCGTTGTGTACTTGAGATGCATCCACATGCTGCATCATTTAGTAACTGTTCCTTTCTTTCCTGAGTACTTTCCTGCTGTGGCTACTTTGTTTATTCACGTCCCAGGTGAGCTTAACATAGATAAGGTCCAATCCCTCAGCATAGATAGGGAGCAGATAGATAAGGGAGATAGATAGGGAGATATGTAAGGAGATGGATGGATGGTAGATAGATAGATAGATATTTTTAAAGTTTTTGTTTTATTTCTTTGATTTATTGATAGTTGTTATAGGTAATTATCAAAAAGGCATTGTGAATATTAATCTTTTTGTTTTTCTTCTGTGTTTAAAAAAGAGTAAAATTAGAGCTAGAAGCATTGCTTAACTGGTAGAGCTCTTGCATAGCAAGTGTGAGACCTGAGTTCAAACTCCAGTACTGCAAATAAAATAAATAAATAATAAAATAAAAATTTTCTGAGCTTAAAACAGGCAATAATGCATACTAGCATGCTGCCAGGTGTGGTCATAGATACCTATAATTCCAACACTCAGGCAGCTGGGCCAGCCTCTGCTACATAGTGAGTCCTCTCAAAAAAGAAAGGAAAGTAGGGAAAGAAGGAGGGAGGGAGGAGAGACAGAAATGGAAAAGAAAATGCTAGCATATTACCATTTAAATATAATCCATGTTACCTATTTAGTAAAATAGTTTCATAGTCAAAAATATTAGAGGTACCATTGAGATTAAGCCAGGCCTGTTGCCACACACCTGTGATCCCATCATGGCTGTTGAGTTAGGAGGATCATGCGATCATGGCCAACCTGGCCTACCTATTGAGACACTGTCTCAAAGGAACAGAGAGAAAAAGAGTAAAGGGAATTCTTTACTCTTTAAAGATTTAACAAGATTTATGAAGACAGTCCAGGTGATCAGACATCATCTGGGGGATGATGGAGAATGATGAACCTGAGCAGTTGTAGAGGGTGATCAGATATTGAGGGTAGGGGGGTGGGGTTCTTGTTAAACTGACTTAGTAGGGTTCTTGCTAAAACTGGATTTTACAAGAAAGGGAACAGATATGTCCAGGAGAAAGTTTAGTGGGGCAGGCTGGGGCATGGCATGGTCGTGCATGCCTGTAATCAAAGGCGGAGGCAGAGATCAGGAAGATCAAAGTTTGAGGCTAGCTGGGAAAAGTTGGCAAGACCCCATCTCAGTACACAAGCCGGGCATGGTGAAATGCACCTGTGATCCCAGCTGTGCATGAGGCATAGTTAGGAGGACTGGTGTCAAGTCCAGCTGGGGCAAAATACTGCAAGACCCCATCTAAAGCAGAACAGAACAGGTGGCGTAGCTCAAGTGGTAGAGCACCTGCTTAGCAAGTGCATGATCCTGAGTTCAAACCCCAGTACTAGGAAGAAAGAAAAAGAGGGAAGAAAGGAAGTTAAAAAGGAAGGAAAAGAGAAAAGGAAGAAACTTTAGTCAGGCAGAGAGTGTGCAACAGGCCTGTCAGTGCCCAGGCCCTGTCCCACAGCACTGATGCTCTGCAGCCCTGGGAAGTAGGCGGCTGCACAAGTGCAGGTGCTCCTGGGCATCAGAAGCCCCGCTGGTTCTGAGGACAGTGACCCAGCAAGGGCACCGCCAGGACACATGACAGGTCCATGTTGGTCAGAGTGGCGGTTAAAGCTGAGGTGTGTCACTATGACACATCAGCAGTGCTCTCTTGTCCCTCACAAACTGTACTTCCCCCAGGGCTTTCTCATCCTCTATGATGTAGTCAGTGCACTTGCTTTAGTGCGCATCTCACTGCTGTTCTCTCTGCCTCTCTTACTCTTTTCCATCCACTGGAATACTTGAAACTTTACCAAGATACTTCATCATTCTCCATGATGCTAATATACCAGGTAAATGTCACTGTTACTTACGAACTCTCTTCTACCCTGCAGTCACCATTTGTATTACTGCTTTTCATCATTGATTTGTAAGCCTTGGTATGTTGTTTAATTTCTGTAAGTGTGGGAGAAACAGTAATAGCCACCACTCATTATCACACAGCATTAGTAGAATACTTTGAGGATACCAAAGCTCTTCATGTGAGCCTTTGTTGTCTGCTACGGACTGACATCCTTTCTGTGATGCTGCTTAGATTGTTACATCACTGTCACTGTATGTCATGGTAGATAGTAGACCTATTTTTATTGATTAGGAAACAGACACCAGGGAGATCAAATACCTTTGCCATGGTCAATTCATTAATTTCTGCTGACTTTTAAGTGAGGCTGTAGCCACTATTTAATACATGTGTATGACTTCTTAGAATGTTTTTTGAAACAATGATTCACAGTAAATTTGGTAATTCTGACATTTACAAAATTTTTTAAATATCTTCTTTTTAAATGTCTTTTAGTAGGCATGGGGCTTGCTTTGCATTACAAAAATCATTCCAGACTGGAACAGACATGCATGTAGATGAACATATTCTTGCTATGTGTCATGTGAAAAACTAGTCCTCATTCCAGTTTGTGTAGAGTTGACAATCTCTCAGATGAGGTAATATTGATTCTTTTTTTTTTTTTTAGTGGCTTTTCTTGAAGGTTTCTAATGTTAATCATCTTCATTCCTCTCTAGAATAGGTGTAAGAAATAAGGAGAATGTCAAGTTGACTAAAGCAACCTGTTTACATAAATTGATCTGGAAGATATATGGTGAGTGAAATCACATCTGAGCACTTTAGGTCAATGTTCAATGTAGTATGTCTTTGAATTAAAGTAAAAATATTTATCTGAGTTGTAATATTTTGCTTTTGATAGGAAATTTGTTAAAGTTATATTATTCATTATTATTTATATATATAAAGTCATAAGCATAAAAATGTTCAGTCATAATCTTTGTAAAATTGTGATCAAGTTTATATGTATACAGATGGGGAGTAATGGTTTGGTTAAAAGCTTTCAGAATTTAAAAAAATTTAAGATACTTTGAATATTCATTATTTTTATCATCTCTGTCACAAAATATCTAACAAAAACGACCTAAGGGAAGAAAGATTTATTCCACATCACAGTTTCAGAGGTGTCAGTCCATCATGAGGAGGGTGTTGTCGATCACAGCAGTTCACATCATGCAGCCAGGAGCAGAGAAAGGGAATACAGGAATCAGCTAAGGCAAGATAGTCCCTTCAAGGACACGCCCCCAGTGACCTAGTTCCTCCAACCAGGCCCCACTGCCCACCTTCACCTCCCCCCAGTAATGACATCAAATTATGAATCCATTAAGGAGTTAATCCATTCAGTAGTTCAGAATCCTCATGATGTAATCTTCTCTGCAAACACCATCACAGACATCCCACAGGTGTGTTCACTAGTCTCCTATTTGCTTCTCAGTTCAATCAAGGTGACATTTAAGTTGTAATATGACAGGAAAGAGGGTCAGCACTCCCCTTGTCAAGGATGGAAGAGACTCTCGATCCTGACAACATGCACACGGTTAAGACATTGCCACCTGCTTCATAGCATCTAACCATCATTAAAAAATTTTAAAAGATGATAGTTAAGATTAACCATCACATAAAGGAAAAATAAGAGGTAATATTTTATAAATGAAAACTGTTCATAACATTATTAATTTGTATTACAAAAATAATTTTAACTGATAAGTTCAATTAACTTACCTTTCTCTCTCTTATTTATTTAATTTTTTTTTGAGATTGGGTCTTAACTATGCAGCCCAGGCTAGCCTTGAATTCTAGATCCTCCTCAACCTCCTGAGTGCTAGAATTATAAGCCTATGCCATCATACCTGGCTCGGTCTTATTTTTTTCTCACACTAAAAAATAGCAGTGTAACAAATTAACATAAATTTTTAAGTGTTAATTTTATGTCTATAGTATAGTAACTATCAGAAAGAAAGAAGGGCTGAAGGTGTGGCTCAGGCAGTAGAGCCCCTGCTTAGAAAGTCATGAAGCCCTTAGTTTAATACCAGTAAAAATAACAAGAGAGAAGTAAAGCACTCATAAAACTTTCTAAGATGAACAGTATTAACACAACAGTGATGAATCATCAGGACACATTGACTCCCAAGAAGTTCAGACAAGAAAAGGGAAAACAGTTCTCAGAAACAAACCATAAGGGAGCTGGGGTAGGGGGCGGAGCAGGGGTGTATAGCTCAGTGGCAGAGCCCTTGTGCATGGGCCCCTGAGGTGATCGTCAGCACTGCCAAAATATGAATTTAAAAGATCACAAGAAAACAAACCACAGGAGTGGTGGCAAGGACAGACTATACTCACAACCTAGTAAATTCTCCATCAGTTTCCTTCTTTCTGATCAGTTTTCTCTATCAGAGTAGAAAACAGCCACGGCTATCTTCTCTTTCTCACCATCTGAGATGGACGAAGCTCTTTTTTGTTCACAATGGAAACCTGAGGACATGCCTCATCAGCTGTATTTGTCTGGTTGTCTCTTCTGTTCCCCATGTCTACTGTGATTAATAGCCCCAGACTCATCATAGAAGTGAAAAGAACAGGTCTCCCAAACAACAGGAAACTGGGTGCTGAAAACACCAAGCACTAAATGACTTTTGTAGCTCAACTTTCCTCCTGAGTTCTGTTCTCTTTAGTTTTTGGATTCTGAGGCTTTTGTGGTTTTGAACATTAAATGAATCAATATATGTAAAATTTTAGGACAATGCCTGGCTGTAATAGATACCATATAAGTCATACATAGCTATTACCATCACCACCATTGCCACAATCATTGTCATAATTAAGCAAATTTAGAGGTTGGGGGTATAGCTCAGTGGTGAATACTTGCCTTGCTGGTATGAAACCCTGGAATTGATTCCTAGCACTTGTGTTGGGGGTGATATTTATATGTATATAAGCATTCACACATTTGAAGCATATATTTTCATGACTTCATAAATTAAACCATTCTATTCTTAGACATAAACACTGTTTTCAGTTTTAACCATCATTGTGAATAAGATTGATTTATCTAGGTTAGGTAGTTGAATATATTTTTGGTCAAAATAGATAAGTATAAATATTGACAGGTTTGCCCATGTATGTTTTCAGATAGCAGCATGAGTCAATTATAAATGAGAAACTTGTATTTCTAGCTTTGATAAATGTGAAGTTGAAAAGCATTATTAGATTTCATTTACAGCTGGGCACCAGTAGTAGCTCAAGCCTATAATCCTAGCTACCCAGGAGGCAGATATTAGGAGGATCATGGTTTGAAGCCAGTGGGGCAAATAGTTTGGTGAGACCCTATCTCAAAAAACCCTTCATAAAAATAAGGCTGGTGTAGGGCTCAAGGTGAAGGCCCTGAGTTCAAGTCCCAGTACTGCAAAAAAAAAAAAATCATTTACATTAGACTTCTTTTTTTCCTCTCAGGATGTATATATAGCCCAAGTCAAGCAACCAGGTCCAACTAGAGCCAATGGGGAGATTTCTGCTTGATGTTTTGAAAGAGTTTCTCATCATTTCTCTCTCTCCCTTCCTCTCCCCCACCACCAATTTGGAATTTTAGATTTAAAATATAATACAGAAATTTCTCACACACCCCTCATCCATTTTAACCTAATGTGTATGCTGGCCTATACCTGTCATCCCATCTACTTGGGAAGGTGAGGAAAGAGGATCACTTGAAGCCACAAGTTTGAGACCAGCCTAGGCAACAGAGATACCCTATGTCAAAAAAAAATAAAAATAAAAAATATAAATATATATATTATACATATATACATATACAAAATTTAAAAATGTTTTGTACTGGCATGGTGGCTGAGGATGGTGAGTTTAAGGCCATTCTGAACTACATCGTGTGACCTTATCTCAAATAAATATGTCAAAATAAAGTAAAATAAAATTACAAAACCATTATACATTTGTAAAATTCAGTAAACTCAAATTGATTGCTACATTATTAACTAAATTCCAGATGTTATTTGGACTTCACTAATAGCATTTGTTCACATTATACAACATTGTGTGTATGTATTGCATTTGCTTTTGAAATAATACTTAGGATCAGAAGTTAATTTGGATTTCTTAGAATTTACAGTAGTTTTGTTTTAACTTTATCTTTTTCATATTATGAATAACTGTGATTGGCTTAAGTGAATAAGGCCCAAACTCTTGGAGGTAACACTTCTTTACTTGCTTTTGTTCTTCACTTTGACTCCTACCTGTGTCTAGCAGCTTTAATCACTTCCTTACTTCCTCAGGGGGCCCTCAGCATCAATGACAGAACCATCCCTCAGCCCCTCTATTCTTCAGCTTTCCCTGGAGAAGCAGAGCAGAGATGGTGCTTTCCTCCTGGATGCAGGCTCTGTGAGTAGTGTGACTTCCTGACCTCACTGTACCTCTGGTCCTTTTTAGCATTTGGTTTCCTTCCCCATAGTATCTCTCATCTTGAACAGATTTGTACTCTCTGCTCTACATATATTTGTGTCAGCCATTTTCTCCCACCACAGCCTTGTTCCATGCCATGTGTCATTGTGGCAAATACTAATCACATGATCTCCATCCTGGTAAATACTAGTTATTTTTAGTCCTGCTCCAATCTGTACTGTAAATACACACATCCTTCTGATCTCTTAAAATTCTCCCAGAGGTGTGGTGCCAACACTTCCTATGAGGTGTCCTCTAAAATAATTTTATTTCTGTCCACAAACACTGATGCTTTGGGTTGGGAAAAATTGTGCACAGAGTTTTCTCTGCAATTCCACAGTCTATGTTAAGACTTTTACTTCAGTGATTATAGAAGACTTAAGGGACATTTCAAATGTGGCAAAAACATGAATATCACATTTTGAAGTCAGAAATCAGCGCTATAAATTTCTCCCAAAAAGAAAATGTCTCATAGCTGTTGCTCTTCCAAATGAAAAAAACCTCATGGTGTTTGTGTGTGTGTATGTGTGTGTGTGTGTGTGTGTGTGTGTCTCCACATTGAATCTTGCTGTGTTAAACAAGATTCTTTGGTCTATGACCTCATGAACTTAAGTGATCCTCCTGTGTCAGCCTCCCAAGTACTTGGGGCTACACGGGCTTGCCACCATGCCTGACTGATACTATATTTTAATGTCATTCTTTTTTTTTTCTCCCTTTGTCTTTCTTTGAGACAGCATCATCATGTATAGCCCAGACTGGCCTGGAACTTGCAGACTGAACCCAGGACCTCTTACTTGCCAGGCAGGTGCTTAGCAGCGTCTTTTTTTTTTTTTTTTGGTATGACTGGGTTTTGAACTCAGGGCTTTACACTTGCAAAGCAGGCACTCTACCATTTGAGCGATACCTCCAGTCTTTGGCTGTTTTGGAGTAAGAACTAAACTATCTGACTCTCTGGTTTAACCTTGCAGATGATAGGTGGTCATTGTCAGTTGGATTAACATTGGTTACTTAAGAAAGAATAATGGACCTTTGTGTATCACTAGCCATGTAGTCTTGGACAAGTCACTACAAATAGTCTTGTAAAGTAAGAACGTTCTTGCTTACGAAGGAATAATTGAAATAGTCCATGAGGAATCTATAGCATTTGGATAGTTTTGAATTGTAAAGGTAAAATCAGTAGTAGACAATTTTACTTAGTGTTTTATTTTTTAACACCTGTTTCTATCCACCTCTGGAATATGTTTCCTTTCATCACTTTTCCATATTGACAGGTTGCAAGTGATGGGCTCTATGTCTGCATTCATGGAACTCATTAGAGGATTCAGCTATTTAAAGACTGGTGTGTCAAGATTATAGCTAGGATAATTACTGGCTTTCAGGCCTTGAGTAAAATTACTGGACTCAGTGAGCAGGTATTTTAAGTAATGAGGAAATAAAATGTCATATTTGTTAATAACCACGTAAATGAATCCATTCATTCTAAAGTTCATAAAAAAATGCAGAGAAGGGTTAGGACATTCTCCTAGATCAAGGAGGCTGGCCACCTGTTTTGTAATTCACGTGTTATTGGAACACACCCATGCCCATTCACTTATATATTGTCTATGGCCACTTTAGTGTTACAATGGCAGATTTTTGCAACAGATATGAAATGACCTCCAAGCTTAAAGTATTCACTATCTGGACCACAAAACCACCAGGTGATTGATTCATAAGCACAGTAAAGTTTGAGGAGTGTTAGAGTCCATATCATAGACACATAATTAAAGCTAATTGGATATTGATGGGTTTTTTTTTTTTTAGCAGACACACCTTCCAGAACTTGATACACTAGAATCTGACAGAGTAATAGCTTTTATCTCCTGGCTTAGAGAGCAGAGACCATTTTCCCCACAACCTTAAGTAATAAGGTAAGTCAAGTTTTTCATTTGTAACACACTTTGTTTGGTCTTGCCAAGAACCTGTTTTGAATCAGATATATGTGAACTAATGCTTAAACAAATTATGTGAGTATATTAAAAAAGAAGAAGAAAAAATAATTATTTTCAATATATAGTACTAAATTGTGTTTTGTAAACAATTACTGGAATTACTTGCTATGAAAAAGCTTCACAGTTTCTCCTAATTCTACTATACACTTCCTCTTAAACAGCATTATGTTTACATAATCAACCAAAACTTCTCAGAGAAAACCTCTAGATGTAGCTATTTGGATGGTAAATATGATAGTTATCACAAGAGGTTAAAAATCTGTTTCCTTTTTTTTTTTTGGCGGTACTGAGGTTTGAACTCAGGGCTTCTGTTACTTGAGCCACACCTCCAGTCCCAGAGCCACTGTTTCTTTTACCATTGCATTTTATCCAAGGGATAAAATTACATTTTAATCCTAATGGATAAGAGTCCAATGAAAGCAAACATCCTTCAAAACATCGTAGAAGACAGAACAGAATCTGCTTTGTCATATTATGAATTCCTTTTGCATATACAGCAAGTGAAATGAAGAAATCAGACTTACTATTGTTAAGGAAATCACAACAATGCAGAATTCTTGGGAACATGTTGGACCTTCCTTTTCTATTTAAGTTTGTGACTTAAATGTGATAATTGAGATGTTTTCACTGTGATTTCAACAAACTATAGCAAACAAAGGACCACCGCAGAGAATCAAACATGCACCTCTGAAATGCTGTATTTTTCAAATCAAAATATATCTGCCATTTATTTTAATTTGCATGTATTTTCATTGTCTTTAAGGTATTGAGTCTGATAGACTGTCTTGCAATAATTAGACTAACAGACTTATTCTTCTAATCAAGGATGTATAACAGCCATTATCTAGGGGACCACCAAATGTGATTTCAAGATTTTGTTAACTATTACAAATACAATTCTTATGTAGAAATTTTGATTTTATGAAGTAGTGTATAATATTGTAACATTGAATTCTTGTTCTCAAAATGAAGTATCTATTGATCTTCAATGTACTATGTGAAATCTTGCTTCTCTGAAATGTTAAAGATAAGGTTTGTCTTCCTTTTTATAGTTTGTAATTTCCACTGTTTTATTCCTATAAAAAAAAGTCATTTCTAACCCATGCAAACAATCCTTTGGTCTATGCTAACTTACAGATTTGGCTTTCCAATAAATTAATTAAAAGCTTACATACAGTGACTGGCAATCTTTTTTTCTTTTCTTTCTTTTTTTTTTTTTTTTGAGATAGGATCTTGATATGTAGCCCAAGCTTTGAATCCTTCTGCCTCAGCGTCCAGAATGCTAGGATTGCAGACATGTGCCTTTGAGCTCTGAGGAACTTTTTAAGGTTACAGATTGCTGGGCCAAACCTTTGGAGTTTTTGATTGAGGTTTCTGGGGTGAGATCTGAGAACTTGTATTTCTAGCAAGTTCCCAGGGTAGGCTGCTGATTCAGGGATCTGACTGAGAATTATTGCCTCAGGGTGTTGCCTGCTCTGCCTCCACTTACCTAAAGGTGTTATTCCACCCTAAGGAGACAAGTATCAAAACAAAGTTATCCTGGACCCTCCCTCTACTGGAGGTGGGTGCTGTAACTGACATCCATCTTGGAGGCCTTGGGGACAGGTCCAGAGGTCTGACTGGCAAGGCTGTCTTGTCAAATGTTTTGGTTAGGCCTGAAACCCAGGACCTCTTGACAAAGCCCACAGGATCAAGCTTTTCTGGGTAACCAACTGCCCACCACATGCTGTGCCTCAACTTGTTTTTCTCTTTGGACCATAATGAAAGCCTCTGAGGCTAGTGGGGAGCTGGTCCAGGCCAGCCTAGACATGAAACAAGACCCCATCTCAAAATAACCAGTAAAGAAAGGACTGGCAGAGTAGCTGAAGTAGGAGAGGAAATTTTCTTTTCTTCCTCTTCTTCTTCTGCTTGGCTGATGCTTAGATGCAATGGCAGGAGCTAGGTCATCTATCATACCACAAGCTTGCATGTAGGATGACAGCAATTAGAAAGGAGATTTAACCCCTCTTATGGGGAGAGATTACTCCAGATAGAACTTTTATGGGAGAGAGAAAATTTCTATCTTGTTTAAGCTATTTTAAGTTTAAGATCTTTGCAAAAGCAGCTGAGCTAGTACACAAATGAATTTAGCAGGTATAAACATGTTAAAAATCACAAAATAAATGTGATTCACACATTTGTAGACTCACTTGTTAATGTGCTGTCTGTAGCTGTACTCAAAATAGGGTAGCAGAGTTGAATGGGTGCAACAGACAGTGCAAAGTGAAAAACATTTACTACCTGGTCCTTTACAGAAAATTTTGGGTGACACCTAAACCAGAACATAAAACAAGTTATGAATAGCTATTATTTTGACTTATTTTCATAAAATTACAGGTCAGTCCAAAGAGATAGACAAAGTGATCCCACTACATTTCAAAGCACGTCTAAAGAATTCATAAGAAAAATAAATTGCTAAATATTTAGAAATTAGTACTGGAAAGTACAGCAGTTGGCTAGTATGCAGGAGGTCGTGGGTTTCATCCTCAGGCCCCACCACCACCACCACCAGAACAAAAGTGGAAGGGCATTGGAACATTATGTAAGACAATTTTTGAGAATTAGCTACAGCAGTGACTAGAGAGACATGTACATTCATGAAGAAAAAATTAAGATAATTTGTTAATATATTCGAGAAAGGAAAAGACTGAAAATAATAAGCTGAGTATCCATCTTAAGAATTAGAAAAAGAAGCCAGGTATAGCAGTTCATGCCTGTGATCCCAACTACTCAATAGGCAGAGATTCAGAGTATCTGGCCTCAAGGCTGGCCCAGGTGAAATGACATTGACACCCCATCTCAATTAACATGTAGATGGGGCACGTCTATGGTTCCAACAAAGTAGGAGACATAAATAGGAGTATCAAATATCCAGCCAGGCCAGGCAAAAATGGAAGACTCTTTTTGAAAAATAACTAAAGCAAATCCAGCTGGTGCCATTACTCAAGTGGTAGTGTCTGCCTAGCAACCAGAAGGCCTGGAGTACAAAACATAGAACCAAAAAGAAAACAAAAAAAGATCAAGACAAGCCTCTGGCAACAAAAGAAAAAAGGAACATCACACTAGATGTTAAAAAGTGTGTAATAAGATTTTTGCACACTGTAGAGATTTTTAAAACCATGAGAATTACTACAAGCAACTCTTTTCAAGTAAGTATGAAATTTCAAAACAATGGATAATTACTGCACATGTAAATGTCCAATGCCTATTTGAGAAGTTACAGACATATTTCTATGTCCCCTGTATCAGTTATCTATTCCTGATTAACAAATCACCCAAAACGCAGTGTCTGACCACCTGTTCTCTATGCTTGTGATTCTGTGGTTGGCAGTGCAGGCAGGCACACCTGGACAGCTCTGCTGGTCTCACCTGAGTCCTCGGGCAGTGACAACCATCTGATGGCACAGCCTCCCTCACATGTCTGTCAGTGGAGCTGGCTGTCAGCTGAGTCACTTCTGTGTCAGGTCACCTCAGCCTTCTGTTGGCACAAGGATTGCCAGTAAGCAGAATAGGGCAAGCCCAGTGCACAAGTGCTTTTCAAGCCTCTGCTTGTGTCACATTTGCTGATGTCTCATTGGCCAAATCACAGCAAATCTTCACCAAAACAACTTACTGGATCAATGTGGGAGAGGTGGCAAATAGGAAGGACAGGGATAAGGATTCATGGAGGAGGGGCACTGTTACTAGAATAGCCAAGTGTGTTGTGACCATAAAAATCCCCCTCACTAAGTAAAATCCAAT